TCTGCGTGAATGTAATGTCTTTGATATGCTGTTTATCAATGGTGGTGACTCTCAAAGCCAATGAGAACCCAGTGAGAATCAATAAGGAATCAATAAGTGATATCAGTAACAGAATCTGAATCCTTAAATTCTTGTTTAATGTTTCAATTAAAAACTCGCCAAAAAGAGCCATTACAGTGTGTTTCATTTGCTATGCCCCAATAAGTAACTCTTATTTTAGGATGGTCTAATGTTAAATGACTAAATTAAGCTAACGCAGAGATACAAAGCCATCAGATTTCACCCTCTGAGAAGTTGTTTTGATTTCTGAGTCTGGACCGAAGTGCTGGCAACACTGCTGAAAAATCATCCCTAGAGTCCTGCCGCTGGCACAGCTAAAGACCGTAGACCGCAGCCAAGTATGATTCCTCTTTGTACATAATCAGCTTTAACCTTTGAAATATTTTGCAAGCATCAAACATTTCAATAATGAAACCATGTGCTGAACAACAAACCATGAGAAAAAGGGGTTTTTCACATCCTTTTTTTTAATTAAAACCCTCTTTTCTCTTAAATCTTTCCAGAAGAGGTCAGAGGCCAAGGTCACTGAAAAGGGTTCGGTGTCTTGCTCACTAACTACTTCAAAAGAATGGAGGTTAGCCAACACATGGGGCTTCGGTGCTTTGGTTGAGGCTGAGAGATTGGTCTCTATAACTACCCGGGCTCCCTGCTGTCACTGATGTTCGTAATGCCCTCTCTGGCCACAAATAAAAGCACAAGTTGCATCGCAGCCACGGTCACGGTGCCAAAGCAAACTCATTTGCCCAGCAATGACAGACAAAACCTGACCAAATCCTTGTGAAAGCCAGGGGAACATGACTGAACTCTATGGTGTAACACTGCAACAACATGCGTGGGAAATGGCCATTATCCAGTCCACTATTGAGCAGAATCAGACCACTGAAAGAAAGCTTCACAAATCTGATGGAGATGCAGCATCGTGTTAGTTTTTTATATTTCCAGCCTGCTTATGATTCTACGAGGACACTGCTCTACTGGCTCACAATGTGAGCAGCATATCGCTTTGAGAAAGACCGAAGCTCAGTGAAGAATGTCCAGATTCCAACTCTACAGCTGGAGGGAGCGAGATCCTCCGATAAACCTTTGCCAATGCAAATACAATACAAGTATGTCTGCAGACCAACGCACGCATGTGTGACGGTCCCATCTGCATTGTTGTGTAAGTCATACTCAGCACTCCTCAGGCTTAAATATACTCACCTGATCTGCACATATCAATGCACATATTTGCTCCAGCGCCAGTAAAATTTAAACTCGCTAACTTTCTGTTAGCTTAGATACAGTGAAAGCCTGAAAGGCCATGCTGTAGACAGTCTAACCCTAAATTTGCTGAATTTAAGGAATTTGATCAGTGGACGTTTTACTTAATTTGATTTAGAAAGAGCTCATTTTAGAGCATTAGAATCTATTAAAGTGTACAATGTTTCAAAAGGCATGCCCCAAAGCAGCCCAATCAATAGGAGGCTGGTTTAGGAAGATCTTACACAGTCAACAAATTAGTAAATAAGCAGCCCACAGACATGCCTGCAGCTCTGTGAGAGCGTACTCAGGAGCGGCAGTGCTTGGAGCTAAATGCTAACATCAGCCTTGCCCTCTCTACCGTGCTCAGCAACAAAGCTAACACACACATTTAGAAAAATAAGGATTAACGCATTCACCAGTTTGTTTATCGGCATTATAATCAGTATGAAGCACGCTGGTTACAAGTTACAGCAAGTTACATGACTTTTGCAGGTATTTAGTAATGAGCCAAAGTCATATTTGTCTGTACTTAATCAAGTACTGACAAATTTAAACTAAACTGCTTAAATGATTACTTAAGCCCTAGTTAAGTTTACACAAAGATTATTATTAATTATATGTTCTAGAACAGCGGTCCCCAACCCCCGGGCCTCGGAC